TCCCAGCTACTCGGGAGGCTGCGTCATGAGAATCACCTGAACCCAGGAGGCGGAGGTCGCAATGAGCTGAGATTGCGCCGTTGCACTCTAGCCTGGACAACAAAAGTGAAAGTCCATCTTAAAAAAAAAAAAAATTATTTGTGCTTAGTGGCACACTCCTGTAATCCCAGTTACTCAGGAGGCTGAGACAGGAGAATCGCTTGAACTTGGGGGGTGGGGTTGCAGTGAGCTGAGATTGTGCTACCGCACTCCAGCCTGGGTGACAGAGTCAGACTCTGTGTCAAAAAACAAAACAAAACAGAACAAAACTTAACCAGGGATTCACCGTGTTGCCCAGGCTGGTCTTGAACTCCTGACCTCAGGTGATTGGCCCGCCTCAGCCTCCCAAAGTGCTGGGATTACTGGCGTGAGCCAACGCGCCAGGCTCAATGGAAAACATTTTTCTAAAAAGAAGTGTTCCTATTTTATAAAGAAAAATAATTTTTGTGTAATTCAAAGTTTATTTAAAGATTATTTATGAAATGAAGTAAAAGAAATGAGTAAATAAGGGACATATAAAGTATGAATCAAAAAGTATTTGAGTCAAGTATCAATCAGTTTGGAAGTTTATTTTGCCAAGGTTAAGGACACACCTGGGAGACAGGTCTGTGTATTTCTCCAAAGATGAGTTTGGATTCCAAGTCTGGCATACTTTAAGTGTTATATCAGGAGCGTCTAACAACAAAGCCTGATATTTCAATAAGTGTCCTCCTGTCATCCACTGGTGTCCTTTAGCTTCTAAGGACTCCTTGTACTTGATGTGGGGTTAAAACCTCCAGATATTGTCCTAAAGCCAGTTTATTGGCTTCATCTACTAAAAGAGCAGTTGCTGCAACTGTCCTGAAGCATAAGAAAGTTGTGTGAGGAAACCAAAGTCCCTGAAGAACACCTTAGAGGATAGGTAAAATGCCCTCTGTGGGCTTGTCCATCTACCCTGTGACCATACAGTTTTGGGGTGACAGAGGCCCATTATAATGGGCCAAAACAGAATAAGCAGCCCAGAAGGAAGTTTGACCTGCCACAGTCAAGGGTTACCTGAGGCTCCTCCAGAGATATGGGTAGTTGTCTGATGGGAGCTATGGTGGAAGGTCTTGGCCCTGTCACTCTTGGGCTTGCCTGGCTATTTTGTGGTTCTTTTTCTTTTTCTTTTTCTTTTTTTTGAGCCAGATTCTCACTCTGTTGCCCAGGCTGGAGTGCAGTGGCGTGATCTCAGCTCACTGCAACCTCCGCCTCCTGGGTTCAAGTGATTCTACTGCCTCAGCCCCTGGAGTAGCTGGGATTACAGATGCGTGCCACCACGCTGGGCTAATTTTTGTGTTTTTAGTAGAGACGGGGTTTTGCCATGTTGGCCAGGCTGGTCTCGAACTCTTGACCTCAGGTGATCCACCCACCTTGGCCTCCCAAAGTGCTGGGATTACAGGCATGAGCCACCATGACTGGCCTTTCCTGGCTATTTCAGCCATCACTGGTTCGAGTGCGGATGGCTCCATCTGGTGCACTGGGCAGTCCCTCTTCCAATGGCCAGTTTTCTTACGATGTGCACACTGATTCATGCCCAAGGCACGGTGACTGGAACACCCAGCTTTGGGCTTCCTGCCTTTCCACTTCCCTTGTTCAGTCCAAGAGCAAGGAGGGCAACCCCATATGGGAGGTGAGCTTAAGCCTGCAGCCAAGAGCTGCACCTTGTGGGAGGTCCTTCTTGCTCTTTCCGCTTCCTCTGCTTTGTCCCTATTATTAAAAACTAAAAATGCCGTATCCAAAGCTGTTCCATAGGAGTTTGGGGACCCATAACTGCTTTTTGTAGTTTCCTACGGGTATCAGGGGCAGACTGGGTTATAAAATGTACTCCCAAAAGGGTTTGTCCTTCCCTTGAGGCAGGATCAGTGTTACTGTAGTTTCTGATAGCCTCAACGAAACACTCTTGAAACAAAACTGGATTCTCATCTTTACCCTGAGAAACTTCCTTAACCTTTTCAGAGTTAACAGGCTTTTTCATCCCTTCCAACAAACAAGTGACCATATGATCTCTCCTCCCCAAGTCCTCACTGCCCCTTTGATAGTTCCACTCTGGGTCTTGATCTGGAACTGCTATACCTCCTGCCTGATATATATAATGGTTTGGGTTGTGAGCCAATACCTCGTCTGCATGGGTCCTAGCTGTCCCCAAAATGTGTTCTTTCTCTTCCACTGTACAAAGCAGAGACAACAAGACATGCAGATCCTGCCAAGTTAAACTATAGGTTGGAGTTAATTTCTCCAACTCATCTATGAATTTTCCTGGATCTTCAGAGAAAAGACCAAACTTCTCTTTATATAGAGCCACATTAGGCAGAAAAGGGAACGTGTACTCTCACAGTGCCTTCTTCCCCATTTGCCACCTCTTTAAGTGGACAAAGGTTTCCTGTTGGAGGTTGATAGGAGGCTCCACTATGAGTGGTACTTGCTGGGCTAAGTTCCTCAGGGAGTGGTGGGTACAGAGTGGGACTAGACGGGTAAGAAGGAGGGAATGAAGGGTTCTCAGTACAGCTTTCGGGTGGACTAGAAAGAGAAATGACCAATGCATTGAACCTTCATAGCTGACAGAAGGAAGTTCTGCTCCACCCAGAAATGCCTGCTGTCCTTCATGGTCACCAGAAATATGTTACAGGACAGGAGTCCCCATCCAGGCCCCAAGAGAGGGTTCTTGGATCTTGTGAAAGAAAGAATTCAGGGCGAGTCCGTAGTGCAAAGTAAAAGCAAGTTTATTAAGAAAGTAGCCGGGCGCGGTGGCTCACGCCTGTAATCCCAGCACTTTGGGAGGCCGAGGCGGGCGGATCACAAGGTCAGGAGATCGAGACCACGGTGAAACCCCGTCTCTACTAAAAATACAAAAAATTAGCCGGGCGCGGTTGTGGGCGCCTGTAGTCCCAGCTACTCGGGAGGCTGAGGCAGGAGAATGGCGTGAACCCGGGAGGCGGAGCTTGCAGTGAGCCGAGATCGCACCACTGCACTCCAGCCTGGGCGACAGAGCGAGACTCCGTCTCAAAAAAAAAAAAAAAAAAAAAAAAGAAAGTAGTGAGCCCAGTGGCAGTGGCTCACACCTGTAATCCCAGCACTTTGGGAGGCCAAGGTGGGTAGATCACATGAGGTTGGGAGTTTGAGACCAGCCTGACCAACATGGAGAAACCCCGTCTCTACTAAAAATAAAAAATTAGCCGGGCATGGTGGTGCATGCCTGCAATCCCAGCTACTAGGGAGGTTGAAGCAGGAGAATCGCTTGAACCCAGGAAGTGGAGGTTGTGGTGAGCTGAGATCGTGACATTGCACTCCAGCCTGGGCAACAAGAGTGAAACTGTGCCTTAAATTAAAAAAAAAAAAAAAAAAGGAGTCACTCTGGTTCGAACGCCTCTGACACTATCACTAAGTAAAGGAGAATTTATAATAAAGGAAAATTTACATCCTGTCTTTAAAGTGGCAAAGGAAGGAGGAGGATAGAAAGACCTTTTTTCTTTGTCCTGCTCTAGGCCAAGAGGGAAGGCAGAGAGCTCCCCTACATGTTCCTTATCTTTAATTCAAAATCCTTTATGTTTCGGGGAAAAATATTCTGGCTTCCTTCAATGACCATGCTAATAATGTCTATTTTGTAGCCTTTTTCTGATAAATTCAACTTCTGTCACTCTCCCAGGCAATTTCCTCCTCGTTTGTTTTCTTCCAGTGGATCATGAATACATTCCTGTTTCTTTGTATACCTTGTATTTCCTCAGAAATTGGACATTTTGGATAATATGTTGTAGGAATTCTGGGTCTTGACCTGCCTCCCCTTTAGGGTTTAATTATTTTCTTTTGTATTTGTTTAGTGACTTACTGGATTTTTTTTTTTTTTTTTGTCTGAGACAGAGTCTTGCTCTGTCCCCCAGGCTGGAGTGCAGTTATGCAATCTCAGTTTACTGCAACGTCCGCCTCCTGGTTTCTCCTGCCTCAGGCTCCCAAGTTGCTGGGATTACAGGCGCCTGCCATTACACCTGGCTAATTTTTGTAGTTTTAATGTAGCAGGACTAGCTGCAGACAAAACCTCTCAGACACTGAGTTGTAGAAGGAAGGGCTTTATTCAGCTGGGAGCATCGGCAAGCTACTGTCTTAAAATCCGAGCTCCTGGAGTGCACAATTTCTGTCCCTTTCAAGGGCTCACAACACTAAAGATTTCACATGAAAGGATTGTGATTGATTTGAGTGAGCAGCAGTACGTGACGGGGGCTGCATGCGCCGGTGGTCAGAGTGAAACAGAACAGAGCGGGGAATTTCACAGTGTTCTTTTATACAATGCTGGGAATCTATGGATAACATTGGTTTCAACCCAGTCATGAGTTGGTTTTTAACTACTAGGTTTAGGCCAGGTTTTGGGTCTGGCACCAGGCTGCCTATCTTTGGTTTCACTTCCTTGTTTTTTCTTAAAACAGGTACTGAGTATCAAACAGTATAAAACAATATGAGAGGATCTCTCTCTTCCCCATTTCCCCCCTTTGAGACTCTCACTTTTTGTTAGTGGGAGTTCTCACTCTTATTTTTGCTACTTGTGTCTTTTTGTGCAATAGATTGATAGTGATCCATATAGTACACTTGCGCTGAAGCATTTTGGTAAACTAAGGTAGCGATGAAGCTTTTTTTAAAAAATCATTTGAAGAAGTACAGGTAGCAAACAAGGGAACAGTAAGCAGGTTCTTATTACTATTATAACTTTTATTATAAGAGTTTTGAATCCTCCTGGTGCTGGGAACTAATTTTTAAACATGGCTTCAGGGTGGAATTCGTGCTACACTTATACGGGCACATGCATCAGTTTTGCCATATTTTTAACTCTGTCTTTAACTACTTGCCTTTGATTATCTATGTGTAGACAGTAATTAGTAAGGTTAAATTTCTTATAGATCTCTCTTTCAGCTGCTAGCAAGTAGTCGAGAGCCAATCTATTTTGATAGATAGCATTTTTTTTTTTTTTTTTTTTTTTTTTTGCCGGTCTCAGTCTTTAATCGTGGCAGGGCCTCAGGCACGCGCGCGCACACACTCAGGCTTCAGATCTTGTTGAAAGCTGCGATATCGACACTCTGCACGTGCTCCTCAAACTTGGTGATCTCCTCCTCCAGCAAGTCTGTCCCCACCTTGTCGTCCTCCACCACACACTGAATCTGTAGCTTCCAGATACCGTAGCCCACGGGCACCAGCTTGGAAGCCCCCCAGACCAGCCCGTCCAGCTGGATAGATCGCACACAGGCCTCCAGCTGGGCCATGTCCGTCTCATCGTCCCAAGGCTTGACATCCAGCAGGATGGAGGACTTGGCCACCAGTGCAGGCTTCTTGGCCTTCTTCTCCGCGTACTGCCGCAGCCGCTCCTCCCGCAGCTGTGCCGCCTCCTTGTCCTCCTCCTCATTGTCGCTGCCAAACAGGTCAGTGTCATCATCCTCGTCATCCTCTGCTGGTGTGGCTGGCTTCTTGGCCGGGGGCTCCACTTGGCGCATGGGAGACACGTGCTGGGTCTGCGGGGCCGTGGCCCGGTGGCCAGGCGAGCTCTTCTCCAGCACGTTCAGCCGGGCCTCCAGCTTGGAGATGGCCTGCTGCAGCTCCTGTACCACGCCACGCAGGCTCTGGTTCTCCACTTCCAAACTGGCGATCCGGACGACAAGCTCGCTGTGGTCTCCGCTGGGGCCGCTGGAGGCCCCGGGGCCTGAGGTCTGGCGGGAGGCACCGGCCACAGGCCCGTTCATCTGCTCGTAGAATCTCCTTTCTGCATCGTCATATTTGAAGTTGTCAAACCAGATCTTCTCATGTACTAGGAAGTTTGTAGCCATTTTTACGCCAGCCAAGGATGCGGCGACCAGGGAGGAGGAATCGGCGGACACGGGATGCCTGAGGAAAGGGCGATAGATAGCATTTCTTATCTGAGTTTCTTGCCGGGCCAGAATAGTCAAGGCTTGACCGGTTTTATTAGTGATGATTTTTAAACCAGTTTGTAACCATATGATTTGGTTGAGCATGTAAATGGGGGTCCAGTATCCCCATGAGCCATCTTATGTCTAAGTGGCAGGCCTATAGTACTGTATAATTTTTTAGGAGGTCATTTATCATCTTTTTAATTACCTATGGCTATGCTTCGTTTTCCACAGGAAGCATAGACTGGGAAGCCCAGGAGTTTGCCTGTTTTTTACGGGCAGTAGGAATAAAGATGGTTTAATAGTGCCAATAACATAACTACCTGTGCACTGGTCAGGCAGCTTAGCGTAGGCTCTATGTCTACATATCTAGTATAACCTGGTGGGGGCAGTCCAGTCCCAGTGGAATTCTGGGCCCAGACAGTCTGCAACCTTGGAAATTTACTGAATGGATCTCTTTCTGTGTAATTGGAACTCCACCATGTAACTGTTTTCTTTGGTACCATTGTACAGTTTTTGCCCCAGATAACTAAGTCATCTTACAGAATGAGTGAATTTTTTCCTTTTTCTAGCTATACGATATTGTCCAATAATTGAGAGTTTTAGAACCTGGAGATGATTAGGGTGATTCTTTTGGGCCAGGAATTAATCAGGAACTGGGTTTGTAGGCACTAATTCTCGGGCTTCTTATGGCCATTGATCTCTGATTATAGTTTCTCCACAAACATAACATGAAGTGACATTTAGAGACTGGGCTACATGCTCGGCTAATTGCAAAAACAAATTTCTGGTTTTTCCTGTAGTCTCTGGTACTGGCACATTTAGTTTATCATAGAAAGTCTGAAATACTGGTTCCGGAGAGAGTTTATGAACCTCCTCTTTTACTAAGATGTTTGTTCTAGGACCTAGTCCTTTCCTATTGATGCCCAGAGATACGTGTTCTCCTTTTTTTACCTTGGGTTTAAGGGATTTGTAATTGTTAATTTTAAGGGGTTGCAGCTTCCACTCGTACAGGAGGGGCTGTCTTCCCCTTTTTGGAGCTAAACAGGATCTTTTTCATCCTTTTTCTAAGTAGTCTACATGACACAAGACCAGTAATTACACACATTTGTACATTAGCTTAATTCATGGCAGATATACTTATTTCCTGCTGTGTAAACTTTCTTTTTTTATTTAAAGAACTGCATTTTATTCTATGCTGATTGCTATTGATAGTGCTACAAGCATTATATTTTAGGGTTATGTGCTTGGAGACCCTTCTTTCTTTTGTCCTAGCTATTACTTTACTTGTGTCGCCTAGAAAAGGACCAGTCCTTGATTTTATTTTAAAAACTTTGATCATGGGCGGCTTAAAATGGGTCATAACACACATCAGGTTGGTTATTTCCTGGGCTACGTACCTTGGATAGAATAGCATTATACAAACATGTTTCTTTTAGAGTCCTGGTACACTTATAACAACCATAAAATAATAGGACTGTAGCAATCTTTTGTCCTACCTCAGTGACCTGATGTATACACTGGGAACAGCCCTCAGTCTGAGGAAGGTCAGTTGAAGTACTTAGTGTACAAGTCCAAATTTTAAGGAAAATGAGTCCTGCAATGAGTTCCTCACGTTTCAGCCATGCATGGACCAGTCAGCTTCCGGGTGTGACTGGAGCAGGGCTTGTCGTCTTCTTCAGAGGCACTTTGCAGGGGTTGGCGAAGCTGCTCCCACCCACGTACAGCGCTCAGTCTACTGATGTTTAAGGATGGTCTTGGAGGTTGGGCCGACTAGAATAAACTGAGTCCAATGCTTTTACACAGTTATGTTTAACTGGGCTCTCTGATACCAGGAGCAAGGTGGTGGGGTTTAGGGTGTTGCAAACTTCAGTGGTTATGTGGGGATTTTCACGGAGCAAGCTTTGGTATCTAGTTAGTCTAGCATTCATTAGCTAATGGTGTCCTTTGGTATTTATTAAAATTACCACAGCATGGGGGGACTTTATGTTTAGGTTTTGCCTAAGAGTTAGCTTATCTACTTCTTGTGCTAATAGGGCTGTTGCTGCCAGGGCTCTTGGACATGGGGGCCAGCCTTTGGAAACCCTGTCTAGTTGTTTTGAGAGATAGGCCACTGGCCTTGGCCAGGGACCTACAGTCTGGGTTAGAACTCCAACTGCTATTTTTTCGCTTTCTGACACATAGAGTGTAAAGAGTTTTGTCAGGTCAGGTAGCCTCAGGGCTGGGGCAGACATGAGTTTTTCTTTTTAACTCATGAAAAGCTTGTTGCTGTTGGTTGTAATAGATGTAGTTTAATCTACATTTTTATTGACTGTCATCTACCAAAATATTGACTTAAATCCTGTAACTATTTGATTTCAAGCTTTAAATTGATCTGGTATTCCTTGCAGGGCGCCAATTGCATCTAAATAGATGTGAGAGTTGAAAGACCTATAAGGGGCTTCTCTCGCTTTACGATGTCTTATTATTTTATTTTATTTTTTCCTGTGGTTGATGAAATGCCAGGGTGAAAGGGATAGCCAAATGGACTAAAGCACAAGTGCCACTGTAGTTATTCGGCAGAGTGCCAAGTAAAGGTCCACCGCAATACCACCACACATCCTCTCGGGGATGAACAAGGGCTGACTGATTGAAAAGCTCTTGAAAATTCTTAAGCTCACTTCATCCCTTCAGGTCTCCAAGGAATGCTAAGTTTCCTCTCTGCTGTGAGAGACACAAAATGAACTTAGTGTTGGGAGATGGAAGCTGGATGGCCCTCGGGGGCTGACCCGCAGGGACTTTGGGATATAGCAGAGAGAGCCTGGCATGACTTATTACTCCAGGCTGTAGAATCCTGGAAAAAAGCTACCATGCAGCCTACGCCTGGTTAACTGGAGGACCACCTTAGTGGAAGGGGGACAATCAGGGCCTCTGGCCTGCCATGGGCACAAACATAACAATTGCTTTTGTTTAACATGCAGATGGAATATTTGATCCATTTTAACCAGGCATTTGCATCTGGTATGCTTTTTTTTTTTTTTTTTTTTTTTTTTTTTTTTTTTTAAGATGGAGTCTCGCTCTGTCCCCCTGGCTGGAGTGCAGTGGCGCGATCTCGGCTCACTGCAAGCTCCGCCTCCTGGGTTCCCGCCATCACCTGCAACCGCGCCCAGCTAATTTTTTGTATTTTTAGTAGAGATGGGGTTTCACTGTGGTCTCGATCTCCTGACCTTGTGATCCGCCTGCCTCGGCCTCCCAAAGTACTGGGATTACAGGTGTGAGCCACCGTGCCCAGCCTGGTATGCTGTCTTAATTGCCAAAGTTTGTTTTAAGTTCTTAACTTCTATGATCCTCTAGTAAAATAAATGTTTCCTTTAGCACCTATCTTTATTAGTTTTTAGACCAAAGAAAGCTAAACACCATTTTATATTTAATAATGCTTCTTGTATGATTTTTTTTACCAGATAAGCTAAATTTTACCTTTATATTGGTGTGTTATTAATGTTAAACTTAATTTTAATAAAACCTTGTAGACATATTTATCCAATTTTTCATGTTTGACTATAAGATTTTATAGACTCTTTTTAACCTTTTATAATTTTTATTAAAGAGCAGGTTGATGCTTTAAGAAAAACCTGCTGCATTTTTTTTTGTTTTTGTTTTTGTTTTTTTGTTTTGTTTTGATTTTTGTTTTTGAGACGGAGTCTCGCTCTGTCGCCCAGGCTGGAGTGCAGTGGCCGGATCTCAGCTCACTGCAAGCTCCGCCTCCCGGGTCTATGCCATTCTCCTGCCTCAGCCTCCCGAGTAGTTGGGACTACAGGTGCCCGCCACCTCGCCTGGCTAGTTTTTTGTATTTTTTTTAGTAGAGATGGGGTTTCACCGTGTTAGCCAGGCTGGTCTCGATCTCCTGACCTCGTGATCCGCCCGTCTCGGCCTCCCAAAGTGCTGGGATTACAGGCTTGAGCCACCACGCCCGGCCCTGCATTTTTACTTTACTGTCCAGTTCACAGAAAAACTGGATGATACCTTTTTAACTTTAGCAAATATGTTTACACAGAGAATTTTCTTTACAATTAACGTTTTAAAACTTGCTTAAACTTTCAAAACAATAATTTTTTTAACCTTTTTATGTAGGTAAAAATCCACATTCTTATGCCTCCTTATAATCTTTTTACCAAAGGTATATTTCACTTTTCTTATACACCTTGCACATAAACTGTTCCTTCAATAGTACTCAGGAGGCCTTATTACTTTTAAATTATACATTTTTTGCATAAAATTTTTTTATAACTTTTTTTTCTTTCATGACTTTCACAGACAAGTTTTCGACATGTCTTAACTTTCTGACTTATACAAACATGTTTTTCTTTAAACAACCAGTTAATTTATTTCAGGGCAAGAATTTACCATATAACATTCTTTTTATATAAATTCTGCCTCCCCACTTTTTTTCGGTTCTTGAATTTTTTTTTTTTGAGATGGAGTCTCACTCTGTCACCCAGGCTGGAGTGCAGTGGTGTGATCTTGGCTGACTGCAAGCTCGGCCTCCCGGGTTTATGCCATTCTCCTGCCTCAGCCTCCTGAGTAGCTGGGACTACAGGCGCCCGCCACGGCACCCGGCTAATTTTTTTTTTTTTTTTTTTTTGAAACAGAGTCTCACGCTGTCGCCCAGGCTGGAGTGCAGTGGCCGGATCTCAGCTCGCTGCAAGCTCCGCCTCCTGGGTTTGCGCCATTCTCCTGCCTCAGCCTCCCGAGTAGCTGGGACTATAGGCGCTCGCCACCTTGCCCGGCTATTTTTTTGTATTTTTAGTAGAGACGGGGTTTCACCATGTTAGCCAGGATGGTCTCGATCTCCTGACCTCGTGATCCGCCCGTCTCGGCCTCCCAAAGTGCTGGGATTACAGGCTTGAGCCACCGCACCCGGCCCACAATGTTCTTTTATACAATGCTGGGAATCTATGGATAACATCGGTTTCTAAGTCATGAGTTGATTTTTAACTACTAGATTTA